ATTGGCTAGCCGCGTCATGCAACCAAAGTTAATATGACAAAGTCGTGAATGCCAAATATCCGACTCATTATTGTGGCAAACATTATTAATAACTTTAGTACAAATTTCTGACAAAGATAGGCGGAACAAGCCTCCGCACTCATAGCCTTTTCCAACAAATTGTCCACACTTGGAAATTACAACTTTATTGGACTCAAAAACCAACTTAAAACCATCTCGACATAAACAGGAACCGCTAACGAGATTTTTATTGATGGACGGCACATGATGAATGTTCTTCAGACGCATGGTCTTGCCCGAAGTAAACTTCAGATCGACCGTACCGACACCCTGAACGATGGCATGTGACTCGTTCCCCATCAGCACGGGAGAAGTCCCTGTGACCTAGTAAGAAGAAAACATTGAGGCGTCAGCACAAACATGTACATTGGCACCGGTATCAATTAACCAATCAGGAGATTGAAATACTGAAAGCATGGTAGGAAGAATACCGTACCCTGATTCCTTCATATCAGTATCACCGATGACAACATTAGCGGACTTGCCGCTCTTCTCATGTTCACTCTCCTCAAAGCGGTTAGGACACTTCGGAGCCCAGTGATTAGGATCACCGCAAACATGGCAAAGTCCCTTCCCCTTCTTGTGAGAATTCTTCTTGAAGTTGATAGAATGTGATGGCTTGTTCTTTGTATCAAACTTGCCTTTGCCCTGAGTTTTGTTCTTGTTGTTTTTGAACTTGTTGGGCTGGAAGTTCTTCTTTTGTACCATGTGGGCACTAGAAGCTCCCTCAGCAACTCGAGCATGTGTGTCCTTTGCTCTTGCCTTCTCTTCAACATCAAGAGTACTAATGAGATCCGCAACGGAAAACTCTTGTCTCTTGTGTTTCAGGGAAGTAGCAAAATTGTTCCACAAAGGTGGAAGCTTGGCAATGATGCCTCCGGCAACAAATTTGTCCGGCAACACACACTTGAAGTACTCAAGTTCTTTTGCGAGCGACTGTATCTCATGAGCCTGCTGTACAACAGAGCGCTCATCAGTCATCTTGTAGTCATAGAATTGCTCCATGACGTACAACTCGCTGCCGGCGTCCGAGGCACCAAACTTGGCCTCGAGCGCAGCCCACATGTCCTTGCCATTGTCAAACGACATATACGACTCCACAATGGAGTCATTAAGAACACCCAAAAGAGCGCCTTTAAAGAGATTATCGATATTCTCAAAAGTTTCCAGCTGTGCTGGATTAAGATCGCCCTCGGGCTTGCCCTTGGTGGCGTCATAGCAGCCCATGGTCTGAAACCAGTAGACTGCTCTCGTGCGCCACCTCTTATATTGCGCCCCCTTAAAGGCAGGCGGCTTCAGATGTGTAGCAAAACCACTCGGAGCAAATTGCCTATAATCGGGTTTTTGGATTGTTGGAAATATGAGCAAATTACTACGAGATTTAATCCGAATAAACAGAAGATAAATCATGACTACAGTAGCAGAGATTGAACTAATCATGCGAACTAGCATAGCAGATGAACAGATCACATCTAGCCACAATCTCGAACAGAAGATATAGAATCACATACGATGCAGCGGGAGCAGCACCGCCGGCGTTGACGTTGCCGCCCATGTCGTCGAGGATGAGGTTGCCGAGGTCGGGGAAGAAGTCATCGTTCGCGAAGTCGTCGCTGCCAGCAGTCGCGCGAGTGCGCTCCAAAAAAAACCCGATCGCCCCTCTCCCGTACAGGATCACGAGAGGCGGGGTTCCGGAGGCCTGTTGTCCCTTCTCCCGGTGCATGTCGAAAGGAGGGATGGAAAAGACTTGTTTGGCGGCGCAATGATCTGGAACGGTGGTGAGAAACCATGCGAGGCGGCGGCGGCTAGGGTCGACGTCTGCCTGACTATGTAGTGCGGGCCGGGTAGGTCATGGGAGTAAACCCCACGTCCGAGTCGTCAAGATCCAAAAGAATCGGTAATGCGTTCGTTCCTCGACGCGGCGAGCGAGGAGGAGGAGCGCGCGTGTAGGTCTCCTATTCTCACGCTCATACAAGTGGTAGAAGAGCTCACCTTATAAAGAGGTGCAACTCTCTCTCAACTTATGAGGTGGGACTAAACTTTAGCCTCATTCACTCCACTCAAATGTGTGCATGAATGGCCAAGAGAATTTCAGAATTTTAGTTGGGCTTTGGGCCAAAAGCCCACTAGCAAATTCCAACAATACCTCTGTGGTTTCGCGGCACATTGGAACAAGCGATCAATACCCTATAGGCATGCCAGCTTCACAACACATAAGACTAGTCATAGTGGGAGTAACTTAGGTAGTAACATAGCACATCCCAAGACATATATGCTTATGTGGCATGAAGTTAATGAGGAGAGAGGTGCTTGTGATAACATAATATGTTACCATAACATAACGCACCTCAATGCAGTCTACAATATAATAAATGAAGGCTTACATGACACTACACTTATGTAACCACCCACTATGATGGTACTAACATAGACTAGTAACATATGCATGTTACTAGTTTAAGTTACTATGCAATATGACTAGCCTAACATTAGTTGTTTGGCTGTCCAATGACAAAGGAATTTGGCGTGCATTTTGTTTTCCGAAATGGACCAAAAGAGTCGCCTCATCTCATTAATTAAGGAGGTGAGTCACAAAGTAAGAAAGAAAAAAGGAAACAAAGGCATGTGCAAAAGGTTACTCTCCTAATAAAATGGCACTCGAGTGCCTAGCATAATTAACGGTGGGATGTATTGGATATTCAAAAGGCGGACCCAAAAATCTGCCATTACACACTTTTTACGCACAACTCATAAGGTAGCTAATTTTGTTTCTTGAATAAATTATCATGTAACTGGGTCGGTGAGTCATTAATTTTATTTTTAGTTTAGCTACCCATGATGCCATTCCCTAAAGAAAATAACACTATCAGTGGATGAACTGAGCCTAGCCGCTTATTGCAAAAAAGAATTTGCTTGCTTGATTTAAGTTATCGATGCTAGTGTTAGAGTCGCCTTTGCACCTTAGACTTGGAAGTATGACCGACAAGAAGAACATATAGTTGTGGAGGACGAGAGATAAGAGTTGGAAACATATGGCAAAGTGGTGGCAAGTGAAGAGAAGGGCGGCAGCAACACGAGAGACTAGATCGGGAAGGCAGAGGAAGGCTAGGGGCTAGCGCCCATGAACGGCACACAACAACTTCGAATCGAAAAGGAGAAATTAAAGAGTCTGCCACGAAGGATTCGGGCCAATAACTTGAGATCCAAATTTGTCTCTTAAGAGTTTGTCATGCATGTTGCTTCGGGATGTTGGTCCTTATGAGCACGTGCACGAAAACTTCCCAATTCTCATTGACAAGGTCAAGCAGGCTTTGGTACGAGAGCGGCGATATCAACACATCGGCGGCCCGTTCTGATGCTAGCGGCGGTCGTTCGGTGGTACAAAGATCTTGATATAATTTTTATTACATTTGAGTTGCTTAATACTACTTCTGATGAACTTTTACACTTAAAAAAGATAGCATCCTTAAAACAAGATAGATCCTAGATCCTAGATTTTTTTTTTCGGGAAACCCAGATCCAGACTTGGGAGCAGATCATTCTCACGTTCCCACGCTTGGAAGGAAGCCTCCCAAGTCCACGCCGCAGCAACGCGTGGTGCCACAGCACGTTTGGCGAGAGAGTCGCGTGCACGCGCCCTACGCAGCGCGTGCAGATTCGGTCTCCGGAACGAGGATATGCCAGTGCTGAATGCCGATACGCCGTTGCGGTGGTGCCCATCCGTTCGCTAGCTTGCGTTGCATGGTCCCCGCCCGTGCCGGCGTGCAGTGCGCAGAACGCCGTAGCGAGCGATGGTCCACCGGACCACATGGACCGTGCACGATCGTGAGTAGCAGACCGTCGTGTTCCTCTGGCATATGTTTCACGCATCAATCCATCCTCTGGCCGTGATTCGCATCCATGGGAATTGAGGACACGCATGCGGTAGAACGGAGCGAGCGTGCTAATTTTAGCCGTGTGGATGGAGCTTTCGATCCCGGTGTTTCCGGTGCGTGGGGAGGGGGAGCACCGCCCCAAGGACTAGGGGCCTGTGTTGTGGCCACGCCCACGGGAGACCGGGGCATTCTCGAGAATTCGAGATGAAAGGAACTCGCGTCACCAAGTTCATACCCAAGTCCCTATCTAATTCAACCAACAATTCAGTCAACCACCCGTTTCTTTTGCGCTCGATTGCATGCTTTGTAGTATTCGTGTACAAGTCGCACTCCGACAATAACAAACCCATACGGGAGGGGAGCTCCATTCGTACTAGTGCAGTATTGCGCACACGCTTTCGTCATACAAGAGAAACGCCAAAAATGTTTCGTCCCGCACAACGCAACACAAAAGGTGAAGGTATGCCCAGTTCGCCATCTCACCTGGCATGTGGCGAAAAAGGTTGCTCTCACATATAAGTATTATTTTGTACTCCAAAGATATATTTCTTTACCCAAACACTCCTATATTAAACGCTCTTATATTTCTTTACAAAGGGAGTAATGCTTATATATATATAAACTGAATTTTCAAGCATAGGGTTGCAGTTTTTTTAGCATGCTTAGTTTGATTAAGCCTTGATGTAATCGAACAACTTTTCTTTAAGGGTACAAAGAGAGATGGTGATTTGTACCACACTTTTTGATTCTCTTGGCAACTCAGCATTGTATTCTCAACGGTTCACGAGTATAACAAATGTATTACATGTTGAAAACAATTTATCACGGCGCAAACTGAGCCCAGGGCGCATACAAGATTACTCTCGAAATTACTTGCTAATCCTGCTGTGTTCCCGACACCATATCTCGTTCCATCAAGTGATGCAGCAGCTCAAGATACACAAGGATGTTGTTTCTCCGTGGGCTCGTCTATTTGCAAGTCTTGTAGCTTCATCAGGCACTGTGGGTAGTCTGGGTACAAACAACATCAGCTAGGTAGTGGAGGAACCAATCTGGCATGCGCGCCTACTTATGTGCTATAGAAGATGAGTCCATGACGCTGCATGATTTGTCCATGAACTGCAAAATGGGCACAAGAAGTGAAGGAGATCAGCACTTGCCGACCAAGTAGGCCGATATCACAGCGTATGATATACGAGTGCACGTTTCTTACAAAAACAATCCACAATATAAGGAGGTCAAAATAAAGATTTCTTCTTCAACAACTACCAAGAGAACCTACAAATTCTATTGGGGTGATAAGAAGCGAGCATACAACCCACTGGAGAGAACCAATTACTGACAGAATACTGACACTACCACAGGGTGTGAGTGAACCCCACTCAGAATTCAGATCAAACCATGTATATATAAGCATTCCAACAACTGAGGAGTAACTAATGAAACTTATCATGACAAGAAACCAAAAGCTATACACAACGACCAATAATCTTTTTATTTTTCGGGGATTAACCACCAATAGTTGATAAGTCCTAAACCACACACCAAGAATACTAGGAAGTGCTTAAACCAGAAGTTGCACATGATTATGGTTGGCTGAGGCCACTGCAAATGAAAGGTTTGATGGCCCTACTGATCAACACATACTTGGAGTTAATAAAGATAAAGATACTCCCTCCGTAAAGAAATATAAGAGCATTTGGGAATACTTCATAACTCATCAAAACACAAAATGCAAGTATGTAACCGAACTACAGAAGGAAAAATATCAAGTTAAAGTCATACCTTCTTCATGGAGTGTAATTCCCGGCCAAATGGTTCCAAGAACTTCATCTCTATATCTAGGGGCCAAACCTGCATAGAGATAACAAAATAGTAAATATCAAAATTAGCAAATGACTTTTGACTGCTTATCATCTGCAACATTTCACATTTTGGCTATACATACTATTGGCGCTATACAAAAATAGTAAATATGCAGAAAATGAAAGATAAACAAGCAAAAGAAAAACACTATGTGTGTGTATATATGTAAACACCGGTCAGGCTGAAGGCACAGCTAACTGAACTTCTCAAGTATTTGGATGCCATATATGTGACAATTTATTCAGCTATCCATTTAGATGCTTGAAACCATCAACAAGAGAATGAAATGGGCTATAGTATAGTACTCCCTCCGATACATATTACTTGTCACAGTCCTAGTGCAAATTTGTAGTGCAGCTGTACTAAGACTGCGACAAGTAATATGGATCGGAGAGAGTATAAGAGTTCTGACGTAAACACACACACCATGATATGCAAACAAACAATGATCTCAGACAATTGCTGGTGGTTTCTTTTATCAAATTAGAGATACTGTAAAACATGAACCTTATAATGCCAACCGTGTCCAGTGGTCATAGACTAGTTTCCCACAACAGAAGGAACACATCACTAATTACATGATTGCTTTCCAACAAGTGAACGTCATCTTTTTTCTTTCAATTGGTGTGACTACGAAACCTGCAAACAAACTAACAGAACATGTGTGGGCTAATAAAAGTATAGCGCACACAACTACAGATGATAACCAACGAACAACCACTATCACCAAAGTATCCAATCAGAGGCGGAATCAACCTAATATCATTATGACATGGAATCAAGTGGATTTATTCAACCATGATGCATAATTGAGCGAATCTATTCGATCATGATGCAGAATAGAAGAGAAACATGGCACGCTTCACCTCAAAAACTATGATCACACCATTCAACAGCTAGATCGACAACATAGGCGTAACGGTCAGATACTGCTAGACAGCTACTAGATCAAAACGTGGGCGTAACGATGAGATAAGGAGAGGGATAGATGGATTTGTACCTTGAGTCCCATCAGCCGCAGAGGCGCCTGCTGGCCGGGCACGAGGCACTCCGGGCCAGCAGCCTCAGCTACGGCCTCCATGGCCAGCCCCATCCCTATCGGATCCGGATTCTGCAGAGAGAGAGAGATGGGGATCAAAATCAGGCCTCCCCTCACCTACCCACCAACCGACGAAAATTGAACCAAACCAAAACCAAGGCGGAGCGGTACGTACCCTCATGATGGCGAGGGCGTAGGCGGAGGAGTCGTCCTGGGCGACGCGGAGGACGGGGGCGTGGTGGATGCGCGGGACGGGGCGGATTCCGGCGGAGCCGGCGGCCGCGACGCGCCAGGGCGCGTCGTCGCCGGCGAGGTGCGGGCGCTTGGAGGCGGCCGCGGTGGGCGAGACGGACGAGGCCGTGGCCGGGGCGGCGGAGGCCGCCGCGGGCAGGGCGGCCGGCGAGGAGGCGGTGGTGGTGGTGAGGGACGCCATCGGGAG